AATAATAATAATAGTTTTAAAACAGATAAAAAAACAAGCAAACTAATAACCAGAAAAAAGAAAGAGAAAAATTAAAAAAAGAAAAAGAAAAAAAAAAAGGGGAGAGCAGGGCAGGTCACCCAGGGTCCGTCAGAGCACACAGACTTGGATGGAGTTCCATGGGCCCAGAAAGTGGGTGGGAGTGGCAGATGGCCACAACTCTGTTCATGAAGTGGGTGTGAAGTGTAAGAGTAACAAGGGGAATGTCACAGCTTTTCAGTCGTCCAGGTCTGGAGTGTCCTTGGGGCTACTGGCAAGTGGAATCTATTCTTAAACCCCTGGAATCTGGGAGAGCGCTGTCTCTTTGAATATCCAAAATGATGAAGCTGCTTGTAAACATTCAAAATGGCTGCGCTCTCTAGACAGGCAAAAGTCCACAGCTCAGCCCGCCCTCCTCTTCGCTGCTTCTCCTTTTATTTACCAACAACCAGAGCAGTGCTCCATGCAGTCCCTGGCTAGCAGGGCTTATTTTTAGATTAATTCTTTGGTCCTGCCAGATTCGGCACTCTCCATTCTGTCTGTGACATGCCGTCAGTATCACTCAGGATCACTGCCAGACCGCAGCTCTGTATGTCTCCTTTTTTGGTAATTTCATGCAAATTCTTCTGCTAGTTGGACTTTAGTCCACTTCTGTACCCTTCCCCTCAAGGCTCACGGGTCCAGTATTATCTTCTGTGTCTGTGTTAATTGATTCTCATTTTCTTTGTTGAAGAGGGTCTGTGCAGTCTTTCTGCCTAGTCCACCATCTTACTGGAAAGTCTCAAATTTCTTAATTCTTAATGCTTACAAATCCATGTGATGATTTTTTTATAGTTCTTTTATAAGGATTTAAAAAAAAAAAAAGTTCTTCTCTATGATACTTGGCATTTGTAACAGCTCTGAACAGATGATACTAAAACAAAAGCCTCTTAAGTTTTCAGTCAATGACTTGAGAAGTTTTCCGTGTTTATCTACTTTCTGGTGTTGGTTATTGCTTCATGGTATGTAAGATGACAGCCTCTCTAAGAGCCTAATAAATATTTAATTCTTGCATTTTTTCTTTTCTTTTTTATTTTTTGACTTGGTCTTTTGTGGTTAACTCTTGAATCTACCAGGAATTTATATTGTTAATCAGTTCCCTGTCATTAGGGATTAAACAAGTGTTTTCTTCCTTATTGTTTTGTTACCATTTTTATTTTATACATCATTGAATTCTAACAGTGAAATGTATTTCTGAACTTTATCTCTGTCCCAGTCATTCATATATATTTATATTAGTTTGTTCTATTTTAATTAATAGTTTGATTTACTGTTCAGATAAGTATCCTTTTATTGTATTTCTATTTTAAAATATTATTTCTTAGTTTTATCTCTTTAGTCTTCCATATGATTTCTAAAGTCAATTAGTCAAGTTCAAAGGAAAGAAATCCTGCTGAGATGTTATTATAATTATGTTTTATCTATAAATTAATCAGTGGAACCTTCTCCTTCACTTTTGTGAATTATTATCTTATTTCCTAATTCAATTTACCTGTCAATGACTTACTATGAAAGTGAGCTTGAAAAAGCCTTCAGAGATTCTGATAGGTAAAAACATAGGGTAATTTAAATTATATGACAATTAGTATCTTCTTAGTGATTTGTTTTTAAAATTTAATTAATACAGTATTGGAAAGACCCAAAAAACAACATTTATAAGACCATGTTAACCTATAGTACTTTCTTTGAGTAACTGTTTGGTGTAGAAAACTTAAAGAAAGTTATATGATTTAAAAAAAAGATTTTTAAGTCAATTTTATACATGTTGTTGTTGTTGTTGTTACGTGCCGTCGAGTCAAACCCAACTCATAGTGACCCCTCCTTGGGTTTCTGAGGCAGTATCACTATGGAAATAGGATTGCCCAACCTTCCTTCCAAGGAGTGGCTGGGGGGTTTGAACTGCCAGCCGTCTGGTTAGCAGGCAAGTGTCTTAGCCACTATGCTACCAGAGCTCCTAATTTTACACATAGTTCATGGCATATTTTTATTTTAATGCTTTAATTGTACTGTTCTCTTATTTGCTTTTAAATACAGTCTTTCTGTTGATGTTTCTTCTCCTGATTTGTTTGGAAGTATCCATGAAGACTTCAGTTTAACTTCTGTAAGTAAGGTGATAAATAATTAACATTAATAAATATAATATATAAATATAAAGGAAAACCTGGCATTTTAACAATGTGGCGTCGTCGTTTTATAAACCATTCTACATTATTTTTAATATTACTGCATTGTTACTCTATCATACTACTCAAACTGGTACTGTTTTATATTTTGTGAATATGTTAGTAAAAACAGTTTTTACATGTACTTCTCATGTAAAACCTTTCAGCTAAAGTTGCAATTTAAAATGTTGTACATAATATCTGCATCTCTGTAGCTTTCCTGAGTGTGAAATAGGTGCTTTGGTAGTTCTGCTGTGAGAGGTTGAATAAGAGCCAAAGGACAGGGTACTTATTTTCACTATATTTCTTACCTCTTCAATCAAAGAAGTTCTGCTTTTCTTTTTTCTTTCTTCAAGTTGTGTAATAGAGATGTGACAACAATGAGAAAAAAAAAGAGTGGTTGCTGTTAATGCTGTTTACAACCAAATACTTTATGGAATTTAGTTCTTTGGTTTAGAGGTTTAGGGTCATGAAATCATAGGACATTCCAGTTAATTGTCCTAATAACAGAGGTTTAGTACTTCTTCTCTATCTCTTACTTTATTGTGTAGTGTCTCAAAGCTTGCGAGCAGTCATCCATTTGCCTGCAGCAATAGAATAAGGAAGAGAGTCAGTAACAGGAGGAGGGAATGACAACTACCTTCTTTGCTATGAGATGAGAAGAACTGGATGGTGCCCTGCTAACATTGTTGAACATTTTGATCAAACATTTTGTAGAAGAATCCTGATCAAAATGGAGACAGAATTTCAGAATTTCAAATTCCGTGCAGAACAGAATTTCAAATTTTCATGGACTCCAGATTTCCTAGAGACATGAAGTTTGGATGAACCCATGGAACTATCGCCATGAGAGAATTTCTAAACCTTAAACCAAAAATATCCCCAAAATCTTCTTAAAATCAAACAGTAGTTTATCATAACTAGTAAAAAATGTGTGCCTTGAGCATTATGGTCTGTTAAGAACTATCCATATGGGATCAAATTAACAACAGAAACTCCACAAATTAGATAGGAGGCTTAGGGGGCAGTGAGTCTATGTTAATGGGTGAGGAACAACTCACAAAGGAGAGTGAGAATGGTTGCATACCTCGAATACTATAATCAGTGTCACTAAGTGGTACACGTGGAAACTGGAATTGGTGTATGTTTTGCTATGCATATTCACAACAATAACAAGATAAATAAAATTTTTTTTAAAAATTCAATTTTGGAGAGGCGGGACAAGATGGCGGACTAGGCAGAAGGATTGCACAGACCCTCTTCAACAAAGAAAAGGGAAACCAATTAACACAGACACAGAAGATAATCT